GGACAACCTGGACATCCAGGAATACCAGGAACACCGCCTCAACCTGGGTACCCTGGAACTCCTGGAGTCCCAGGTACACCCGGAATACCTGGACGGCCAGGCAAGCCTGGAAAACCAGGTCATCCTGGAAAACCAGGTCATCCTGGAACACCTGGAACACCGGCACAGCCTGGATACCCTGGTACACCTGGAACTCCAGGACATCCAGGACATCCTGGAACTCCTGGAACTCCTGGAACGCCACTAGAACCTGGCCATCCTGGAACTTCAAAACCAGGTACTTCAAATATGTTATAATAGTACTGAAACGTTTCCTAATACGACATGGCCGAATTATACGTTATATTCATGATAATTTTTCATTTCTCTTCTATGTTAGAAAACATTATAACAACATGTGGTATAATGCTATATTCGGTACAATTTCAGATCACGGACAATATCCTACGTATCCTGGATATCCCACTGGACCACCAGGTCCAGTTGGCGGTGTTGGACCCGATGGTCCGAATGGTCCATGGCCTAATGGTCCCGATGGGCCGCAAGGTCCAGGTGGTCCAGGTGGTCCCGGAGGTCCAGGCGGTCCAGAGGGGCCAGAAGGGCCAGTGGGTGGAGTTGGAGGAGTAGGTGGCGAAGGAGGTGTTGGGCCTGATGGACCAGATGGTCCATGGCCGACCGGTTCACCTGGACCTGACGGACCATGGCCTGGTGATCCAGACTACGTACCTGGAGTAGCACCAACTGCGCGACCTCGATATGAAGGACCAATTAAGCTTCAATATCCTTTGAGATATCCCGAATCCTCAACACCAGCTACGTTCAATGAACCCTTCTACGGTGACTTTGGACAGAAACAAGTAGAACGATTAACGTCCAGTTCCAAGTTCAGTTCAGATTTCAGAAGAAATGGCACATTAGGTGGAAATTACGAGAAGAACGTTGAGTCTACTGATTTTGGGTATCCAACCAAAACAAGTGGTCCGTTCGGTTTGAAAGAAAACCAATACCAAGGTTCCTCGGAAAGACAGGGATATAGCCAAAAGCAACTAAATCAGAATGCAGATGCAATTAATTCTTTGCTACAGAAGCAACGAAAGGAGTCTCGAAAGTATACCGAAGAAGAAGGCGCAGACATATACGCTGGCGTTACGAAACTTGCGCCGCCTGGAGTCCCTCAAACCGTGTACAACGAGGTAAAGAAAACATCGAGCAAGTATACTGGTCAAGAGCAGGTCGAGCAAACCAGCCGTGGGCATCGTAAATTTTCCCAACAGGTTACAAAAGTGAGTCAACCTATTCAAAACAATCCAATTATCGAGTTAGAAACATCCAACGACGCGTATCAAAATACTGACGGAAAGGCCAACGTAAGGTTTCAGTCATCCAGCGGAAGTAGAGCGGCATTCATCAAACAGGTAAACGATTTGTCTGAGACATTAGAGCCGAATCCAGATATCGCTGCTATTGGGGTTCAACCACCAAGCCCGAACATCAAGCCCTACAAAGAGTCAATAGGGCCAGATCCAAAAACCTGTCCTTGCTATCTGCTCGAGCCTGGTAATGATACCGCCACTACCACGAGCACGACATCCGTTCCTCTAATTGGTCAGCTTGGCTTCATTCCCGTGGTGTTTGTACCATACTGTCCGGGCGACGAAACGGACGGCCAATACATGAAAGACATGTTCCCCTCCGCAATGCCCGTTCCGTATACATGCAATGCATGTGGCGCGCAAAACGGACGAATCGAAACGAAGCTTCTCAGCCTGAATCAGCTTGGCAACATCGAGAACCTAAGGGAGGCGTTACGTCAAGCGAAACTTGGCTTTTTGAATGTTTCAGCCCGGAGTCGAACCGAGAGGCGACGAACCAAGACCCGGAACGTCAAGTGAAGAATGTAATTGTAACGAACGGTCGTCGAGCCAAGACTCGACCGTCAGGAAAATTTCTGGTTTACAGGGAGGAAGTCCGTAATGACGATAAACTGGCCGTCTATCAGCTGCTGGACAGCTGACGGATGGCCAACTTGAACACGATCGAAAAACAGAGACGTCGTCTTGTTGGATAACTATCGGATAATCTATCCATTCGCACACTGACGTGAAAGGTGCGTGTTCCATTAAGTAAGATTCGTGGAATTCGCTTAGGACGATCGACTACGGTTATTCGGTGGTAGCGTACCAACAAGCGTAAGGGTTTTTCCTTATTTTTCTTTCCTTGATGAAACTTTAACTGTTTACAAACGGACCTGGCAAGGTATAGCGTATTTTGCTATTTTCTTCCTGTTGATGGTGAGAGGCTATAATTTTTTTGTGGGTGGTTCTATAAAGCGTGATTTCGATGCTAGAATTTACTCGATGATGCATTTTTCGAGACTGAAATAATTTCTTTTATTTAAACATTTCATCCGTTAAGAAGGAATCCCTAGGATGAATTTAATGTCACAAATATCTACTTACACGTTTGCATTTAAAAGAGGTAACAAAGTTCGCTTGGCTGAGGAAAATTACCACGAGTAAATGAAAATGCGGTTTCCACGTTATGTACAACCACCTCCAAATAATGTTGTATCTTTGCAACATCGTCAGGAAAAACTTGAAACGATATCGCGCACGACAATACGATAATAAAATAAGTTTTCAATGAATTATTTATACGATCTAAATCTAATTTTAATTTAATTCGCGTAAATGATTAACTTCTCGTCTTTTTGAACACATTGCAATTTATGTGTCACCGTGTTTCGCTAGCGAAGGTGAAGAAAAAATAGATCGCAATTTCCATCGTTATTGTTACAGTAGCTAGACGACGACTAATACTTTTGCTCGCTTCGAATTAAGAAGACGAATAAGCAGTTGCAACGCCATAGTGACTACAAAAGTTATTGCATGGAAAAGAGATAACTCTATTTTCGAAAAATTTGTCGTTATTGTTGCACGCGTTTTGTGAAATAACTTGTTTCAAGGAATTTTCGTACAGGTATTAACAAGATCTAGACTGTCTCGTAACGTTTTTTCTTATTGGGTATTACGTTGGAACGGAAATCTAAATTAATTATTTCGTTATCCTCAGCTGATATTTAATTTCAAGAGTACTGCTTCGTTTCGCTCGATGTTGGTCTAATTGCGTATCATGATAACGTATCCTGCGCACTCCGGTTGCAAATTTTTCAATTTAAGTTATGAAAACATCGTGAGAAATGAAGACATATGCTACGTCGTCATTTTGTATGCTTGAGATTAGATATTGATCGTACAAATGCTAATACGTACTTTAATTCTTATTGAGCGCGTACAGAGCGGTTGTCGCGTTTAGGTCACTTTCGGATATGGAATCGTGTAGCATAGGACGAAAGACTCGTGACATATTTTACATAAATCATGCGAAATGTAGTCCTTTTTAGCCGGACATTATTTTATCGAAACGGCATTCGACGATTTATGTATGGTACTGAACACAACAGTCCGTGCGAAACTGTACGTGCTCGACACGTGTTTGGAATAACAGAACGATTATATTTGTACATCGGATATAAGCTAAGTAACATGTATCTTCTTCTATTAGCATAGGGATCGATACATTTTCAATAAATTATACATAATTGTACATATTAATATTGCGTTCATCCAATGTTCCTTTACGAGCATGAATCATGTATTTTTATTAAATAAAACTAATCACGAAATACGCAGTTGATTTTTACATTCGAATATAGCAATCCACTTAAAAGATACTGTAATTAAAAATTACTTACTTGAATATTTGCTACACGTTCTCCTTCGGTCAAACTTCTACCTAAAAAGTAACTGAACATAGAATCCGGATAAGATAGTAAACGTATTAAGTATTATTTATTATCATCGGTAATATATTATGTACATCGTAGAAAATATTAATAAAAACTAAACATTGCGAACGCCCCATATATTAATGCGCGAAACAAATGTAAGTTTGAATGCCACATACACAGTTAAATCAGTATCTGTGGATACTGCTGCAATGATTCATGCGTTCCTCGTTACGTCAACGGAAAGTATAATAAAATTCCACGGTACTTTCAGTTCGATCTCGATAGCAAATCTTAAGAGTAACCCCTGTATCCCGATGGATAACTTAAAGTGCTGTCTCCATAGCTATTTCCACGATAACCATAAGGATTGTTGCCCCTCGAGAATTCGTAACTCGGTCTACCGTAGAGACCGTATCCCGACCCATAGCCATAAACGTCCGAGCCACCGTAACGTCCATAACTACCCCGGGCGCCGTATCCACCATCGTAAACTTCGCCAAAAGAACCTAAATTGTAGCCGTCACCATAACCACCGTAACCTCCGTATCCACCGTATCCTCCGTATCCACCATAACCATTAGATCCTCCGTATCCTCCGTATCCACCGTATCCACCGTATCCACCATATCCTCCGTATCCCCTGTAACTAGGATTGTATCCAGTGTTTCCGTAATAGCCGTATCTGCGATCAAACGATTGTTCTAATTAAGTTTTGCTTATCTACATCATCTACGATTCTTTTTCTAAGTGAAAATAACACTGCTGGGAGGATTAGTCACGTGTCGAAATAAATCCAGGTATAAACAGAAGTCATTTTCCTGGATGGAGTGCTATTTCAGAAAACAACAACGTCGTGTGAGCATCAAGAAGTGTCGTAATCGGAAATACCTGAACTATTAACTAGCTGACGAAGGTGATGTACGGAAATGCTTCGCGCTACTTCAAATACCGATAACTTGTTCACTTGTATCATAATTCACGATAATATGGACTTCTGGGGACTTTCTGGGACTGGGACCAAATACAGGGTGATCCGCTCGCTAGTAGACACAATGGACAACCACAACAACAGCCGACCGTCATTGTAAACTTTATGACGGTGACCCATACAGCCGCTTTCGTTGCGGGAGTCACCGTCATTAAGTCTACAATGTACGGTCGGCTATATTATCGTGGTTGTCCATTGTGTCTAATAGCAAACGGATCACCCAGTAATAAGGTTTACATTTGGCCCGAACAATACACCACTGGCCAAGCTCATGATAATCAGTTTTGGCCCGAATATCCGACCACGAGTGCCACACGTGGTCGTAGCTGATCCCTGTCGTTCTAGGGATCACTTACCCGTGCCAATAAAGCAATAACTGCTGTTTCGGTTTACGACCTCACAAGATCCTTACCAGCGACTATGTATATTTAAATATCAAAATTTCATTTTGCGTAATACTAACCCTATATGACCGCCACCGGTAATTCCACCAGGCCCAGTTATCGAGTAACCTCTATAGCCCGAAATAGGGTATCCTGAGCTTAAACCTGAACCTCGGTAGCCTGTATTAGGACCATAAAGCGAACCGTAGTAAGATCCGTACGGCACGCCTCCGCCGTAGCCTCCGAGCTGGCCATAGTCTTTGTTAAGATGAAACGCTGAAAGCAAAGCAACTTTTAAGAAAATAAAGGGTCTCGGAGGATTTTCAAATGTCAGCAACGTGTTTCTGTGAATGATATAAAAAAAATCGAGAATCATATTCTTTAATCCTGTTGCATTCTTGACGTTCAACCTGACACTTCAAGTTCAAGACTTACTATTACAATTGCGATACATATTTTTCTAATCTTATTGTATGATAGTTCCGTGTGTCTAAAAAATTATAGATGGCTTTTAGTCTTGTCCTGTGCTGTCTCCACTTCATGCCGATATATATCTAGATCGCATACGTATATCCGTTATTATACCAAGCATTGACAAAAAGCGTGTTGCATCACGTTCTACCTTCGTCCATGTTTTTTTTATTAAGTAACCCAAAAACAAAAGACACGTAAGCTACATTGTTGTATGACAACAATGTTCATATTCAATCAGAATACGTGATTATATGATAGCGAATAGCAAATTATCGGTCACAGCAGTATCACTGTGGATTGTGTATTTTTTTAATACAAATGATTGTTGGAAGAGATGGCGCCTATGACAAAATATCGTAAGGCGGCGTACAAGTATAATCAATAACGTTTGACGAAAGATGAAACACTCGACACCATTTTTCCATATATTCGCGAACTGTTTGCAGATACCATTGGTTAAAATTAATAATTCTTCCACGCATCTTAACACGAGTTTGCCAACGCAAGAGATGCTATGTTCAAGTAAATTTTCTGTCGCTGCTCACTGTGTACAGAAGAATAGGTAATCAGTTAAACCTTGGCAAGTGCTAGTGAGAATGGTAGTTCGCTTTTTCGCACATGCACGTCCTCCAACCACTCGTTTCATGGTGGCGGAAATGACGGCGTGTGTTGAAAGGTGCGTTCATGAATCATCGGTTAGTGTACCGCACTGTTCGCGGGAGAAAATCCGCAGAGTAAGGCGAATTTATCTTCAACGAACAGTAATTGTTGGAGATGCTAGTATTCGTGGATAGAACGACGTAGGGTGATTTATGAATGTAAACAATAACGATAGCATGGATTCAAATTGTGATTAACAGAATTGAAAGTGTTTGAAATGGCAAGATACGTTTATCATTTTTGGAGAATGTTCCTATAATGTGGTATGAAGAATTGTTTCAAGTATTATAACGATTCTTTCTTCCCGTTCAACTCAATAGTTTGTACGTCTCGTATCGACTGTTCTATTATATTTACACAATACACTATTAACAAGAATGTTTTCTTGAAAATGAATATCATAGAAAGGTCACGTGAAAGAAAGAGGTTTTAGTACCTATAATAATTAGGGAAGCCAATTATACCGTAGATATCCAATACAGATTGGATTTAATTATTCTCCTACTCGATCACAGCACAATTGGATAAAATACTTAAAATAGCGTTACGATGAAAAAGTTAGATAAACGGCGTTAATTGGTGCATTCAGAGGATATTCATAACTGATTGAATACGCGAATGCGTGATTTCATTGTACAAGCAGAATTGCGACTATTTTTAAGTATAATTGATTGTTATCTAACCTTTTCGCTGGCGAGTATATTAAATAAGTGTGTCACTACCGTTCCCACGATCAAACGCTTCAAACGTAAAAACGTGACATTCGATATAATAACATGCTAATGCAGCGAGACTCCTGAAGGTCCTTCGACTTCCGCCGGCGTCTTTCTAGTGCGACTTGTGATCACTGTTCTGCATTAGATCATTGGTATAATGATTCGCGTAACGGGAAAAATAGAATTTCCATACGTGATTCATCTGTTATCACATTGGTCGATAAATCTTTGCTGATTTAGCACTAAATAATTTATTACTTTGACCTACATTTTACTTATATCCATTGTATAATATATATATATATATATATATGTTATATATATTTATATATATATATATAATAATGTATTTTTAACAAGAAAATTGTTCGGTTTGTATACCTAGAGATGTATGGTAACGATGTTTATGTACAGTTGGCGAAAGGTAAAAACTTGGTAAAAACTGTTGAAAGAATTTGTAACGTGAAAGAAAAGATTGTGTAAATGATTTTGACACTGTATAAAATAGATCATTTAATAGTTGTTTAAAAACTTTGGCGTTCGAGATTTCAATCTAGATTAGTGTTTTTCAAATAATTTTTTGTCACGGAACACATTGTGTCTCACAGTATGTTTACGACATCCTTATATTCTTTTGTAACTAGATATCTAGTTTTAAGAATGAGAAACGTACAATTAATATTTAAATGATTCGTATTTTTGAGAACGAAACAGAAGTGAAACAACAAACTTATAAAATCCATATTGGCCTCATCCGTAAAACTCCTTTCTAATTCTAACAAGAATTTTTGGAAAAGTAGAACCATGCGTTTATCCACTAGAGAGAGAGTGAAAAGTTAGTTGATAAAAAGGTACCCAATATGTCTTTTTTTAATGCCAGAAAATATTATCCTCGATTACACGTAAACATCCGTAAAGACTTATTGATCTTAGATAAGATAAAGAAAATCCAATACTTGTTTTGAAATTCTAATACTGAAACATTATGGAGACAATTCTCAATTTTAATTACTTTGTATGTAATTAAAGCAGCGAATCAGTTTTTGACGAAAATATTATGAAAAGAGTTAATTAATATTTATTTCAACATCAACCTGGTAACCCAAACGGATATTGATCTCATGGTATACATTTATAATGTCAAATCAGTTTGTTACAAATATGTGCGTTGTTCTACTTAAAAATTATGGTGTACTTAATACTCTACCTTTATCAAAATATTTTACTTTAACTATTATCAGCAAGTATACTATTCTTAAATTAATTTTAATTTAATGTTTAATTTGCAACGACGAGAAACGAAATGCTTTGTATTTCCTATGGCATAGATTCGTTCGCGTGCAGACTAATGAGATATTTACCAAAAAATTTTTATTTAAAATTTAAACCGGCCGTAACGCCACTGCAAAATATTTCAGTAATTAAAACTTTACGCTTTGTTTCAATATTAACAAGCATCTTCCAGATTCAAGAAATGAGACGTCATTTTAATGAGTACGTACTATGGTGTACCTTTTACGTTTTACGCGGATAAAGGATTGTCAGACAAGATATATTTAATATATGTTCTTTGTGAATTCTAGAATGCTGGATTTCATGAAAATTAACAGTAACGTAACTGAAAGTTGGAAATGAAACGTTGAACTCACTTCGATCACTGGCGGATGCTGTTAAATCTTTGACGTTGTCCTTAACTGTTGCACTATTTGCCGGCCCAAGTTGAGCTGCTAACGTTGACTCAACTGATTCAATAGCGCTGCTGCCGGATGCAAATAAGCAAACGAAAATTAATATCTGAAACTGAGAATATAAAATACATTACAAATAAATTGGAAAATCCAAACAGATGCAAGGATTGACCGCACACGATAAAAATATTATATTATATTAAATTCATAATAAATACAAGTTTCAAATTTATTAAATCAATGCAGGAATATTTTAAAATTAATGGAAATAAATGACAATACTCCGAGAGCGTAATCGATAAAATTGTTAACGGGGAAGTATATTTGTTGGACATTCGTAACACTGTATGAATATAATTACATTGGTAACATTTTTCAAAGGTAAGTCCAAAAAATATAATTTTCATTTCCATCAAACGATTTTCTTGAATTATTTTGCTGTAGTACAAAACGAGTTTTATGTCCACTTTGTTTTAACTATTTGAAAAAGATATCACAAAAATCAAACAAAGAGTGCGAATTATATCGTGTCTCTAAGAGACGACAATTTTTACGTTTATATAAAACATCTTGGAACTCTAAAATTTGACAGTTTCATTCTGTGAGTAATGTAAAATATATGCATTTTGTGTTTTAAAAAATAGACGACTTAATTGCACTTAATTGCACTATATTGCACCCAAGAACAATGTTGTTTTTTTTTTTTTAATATTAGATATACCTATATTAGAAAGCAACTATATTAGAAAAGCACTTAGACTTCGCTAATCACAGAATAAAACCAAATCAAAAACTTGTTCATTCGTATCACGAGATCATCAAAAGCACAGTAAGATTATGCATCATAGTTTTCTCGATTATCTGGTCAATGTGTCCTTTAATTGTTCACTCAATAAGAAAATTGATAGTGATCACATGGCAGTATTTCACAGCAATAAGATTCACGGAAAAAGAGTTTAACTGAGGTTCTACCCTAACGCAATTCTGGAGACATGTCCGTTATCCGAGGAAGGAAACAGAAAACTGCGCGCAGTCTACTTACGAGGAGGAGCGGTTGCATTTTTCTCGGCTGGAGGGAAGACATATTGCTCGAAAACACCTTAACCGAACGAGACAGAGGTGTTCTACTCGAGTAACATGGTTCGAAACCCTCTATATAGGCGTTTCGCGTGCCCCTCCTCATCTTCCTGACCAGGCTAAGTTTGTTTAAGCTTAAGCCATACTCAGATGATGACGTTGACAAGGTTGTCGAAGAGAATCGGCCGACATTCTGCATGACACGCCTGTAACCAGTCGCGTTCATGCTCATGGGAAACCGCGTTTCCTCTCTTCCAAACACGCGTTCGCATACAGCGCGATTCTCATGCTAGTTGTCCTGAAAGGCGTGCTGTGTTCTCAATGATAATCGAATGTTTGTATTATGCATGATTTGTCGATAGGTCTCTACCGTGACATAAAAGACCACCAGGTCATTGGTGGCTTCTGCAACGGGACACGACTGTGAACTTAACCAAGAGATAAGAAGAGTAAATCTTAAAATATAAAGAAAAAACTATACCGCGCAGGTGACTACACTTCCGCAATTGAATACAAAATAGGAACACCCACATAAACTTCGACAAACATTATCTACATATAACTTGATGCTAGGTTTACGGAAGTTCGAAGTATCTTCGCTGCATTGTTTGTTTCTTTGCTTTCCCTTTTACTTTCCTTTTTACTTTACAAGAACTTTTTAATTACTTTCACACCACCGCGATACGTATTCTTGGAATTTTAATACAAAATTTAATAACGCTATCTAATGAGAACTATTAAATAGCACTGCTTATAAAGAGCTATATTGTCTTCAGACTTGGAAACTGCATAAATTGACATAAATGTAAACGCGAGTTAACTGGTGATCAATGGACGACGTTAGATCATGAAACGCGAATATGAAAAATCAGCAACGTGCAGAAAAACGCTAGATATCGGGGGAAAAAAGCACTTCGAACGTGTACTGTAGGAAGGACGTTAATGGATGCAAACTTTTGCATATAATTTTCCTGTTGAAAATCAAAAGGATGACGTGTTGACTCGCACGAGCGATTATACACAAAAAGGAATATGTTTAACGAGAATAAATTAATGTTAATTAATGTTTTAAATAGTCGCAGTCGAATCGTCTGTTTATCCTTTTCTTTTGAATAATAAAACGAACTCGTCACATTCGATCCTTAATCAGAACCAGTTCAAACAGCTCGTAACTAAAGTCTATGATACATTGTTTATGAAATCAACAAACATATAGTTGCTCTCACATATTACCGAGGAAGGAAGAGCCTTTGAGGGAAACTAGCAAACAGTAACACTGTCTGTATATGTTTTTTAGCGTGACATCCTTCGGTTAGGGCTACATCGTTCCACGAGGACGTGAAATTGACTTCAAGTAGTTCAAGATCGATGGATGTAGGCGAGCTTCGGAAGACTTCTTCCGCGAGGATCACGATGATCGGTGATTTGTTAATGATACCATTTTGCTTTTAATATCGGGTCGAGGTTGCAGCAATCTGTACGATCGCTCGGACAACGCGCGTGACAATAGAGAAACATTCTCACGCATCGTGCTAGTCAGGTAAAAATAAAGCGAAGCGTCGGTCTGCAGAGTAATCTGGAATTCTGAATCGACAGTTATTGGAAAACTCTCTTTTGTTACGGCGTAGGCCAGCGTTTCACGAACCCTTGTACAATTACCATTTTTTACAGCAGAACTGAAATCCTATCCGCGCACGGATTGATCGAGGCTGATGGGGTGCCAAATAAATCGCGGAACTTTTAAAAGGGTACACGCAGTTGCGATAGCCAAACTTTCATAATTTTTTTTTCAACATTTAAAATACAAATTTTTATTCCAAACGAAGCATAATTTCGCAGTAAAAGTATTAAACTTAACGTATGCCAACGTTTCTTTGTTAAGATATATTTAAAAATGGACAAGATACCGTAAGTTTTTGGGAACGATTCTTTTTCCTTTCGGTTTATAATACATGATAACTTGCGAACGTCTCATCTGAAACATGCCAAACGAATTATTCAGTGGTGGGGATCATTGTAGTTTATTCACGAAGAAGAACCTATTCTGGTTGCCCTACGAGGTCAGCAAAATTTACTATACAGTCTATTTAATATTTAATTTGAATCCTTAACGATAAATAAACGTCGTTAAAATAGCCATACAGCGCGAAGTATGTCAAATTTCGAAATCGGTCACGTTCTACGGTAAAAAGCATTTAGTCGATAGCGGATAACTGACGAAACACTTACAATTGTCACGAAACAAGGATACGATGACAGTGTCTACAGAAATGGTATTGCATCACGAGGTTTAACGTTTCAGACACACCCTTCACACATACAACTTTTACGATACCATTCATACTACTATTCACGTATACAATATTCTAATTCTAAGCGTTTCGAAACAAATTATTGGTAATTTCAACATTTCTGTTAATTTGTCTTGAAATGTTATTTCCAGCTGCAAGAAAGTTTCTGTTAATATTTTGAATTACAAAGGAGTCCCGAGAATCAATTGTGTTGTTCAATCGATATAACTCTATCGTTTGAATGCAATACAACCTTTTCGGAGGAGGCGCGAAATAAAAAATGTTTAATTCAGGCTCGAGTTAGTTTTTGGTGGTGGCGATAATATTGTATGTTGTTAATTTATACATGTATTCGTATACTGTTTCCATGGAAATTATGTTTACGTTGGTTTGATGTATTTGCTTTGTCGAAGGGTCGGGGAATACTTTACCGACCAGTTGCCGATTAATCGACTTTTTGTCTCCAAAGCTCACCGACCCGGTAATTGCTATCGTAACTAGCAAGTACTTGTTACTTTGAATCGAGATATAAGTTGCTTTGGTCTGTAAGCTCTCGTATTTTTATACAATTCCCGGTGCCACGGAAGATCTGCTACCGAGCGACCGGTGAGAAGGACATAGGATCTTGAATTGCTACCGGTCGGTAAAGTGTTAATGTATGTATATTGTACTATTTACACGGAAATGTGGAAACCCGAGTAGGTTTGGTTTGGTTGTAGTTTTAATGTTTCTCGAAATCGGTTATATTTTGTTCTTCTTCAAAAATTGATTTATTACTACTGAATTTACTACTACGATTTATTAATACTAAAGCGACCGTTTCGCAATTAGACATTACTGCTACGTATACGGTGTAATATAATTTCTTTTGAAATCTCGTTTACTTTTTCATGAGTTTACCAAAGCGAGGGTGTCAGCCTACTTCAATTACGAATGAATGTTTTCGGCGTCATTTACCGTTAGCAGTAATCACATTTATTTCACATTCAATTCTTCCGAAACAATATTAAGTGTTGGCATTCATATTTTTAATGCGTAATAATATTAGTTACAATCATAAGAAAATGACACTGAAAGTTTACTTCGTGACATCGAAGAAAGTATATCCCTAAATTCTGCAACCAGCGTAGCAGGTTGGCTGGCGTCCGATCATCGTTCTCTATATCAAAGGGGCAAATGTACGATTGCCTCAGGGAACTTCTAGGCCGAAATTCGAAAAATTTACAGAACCATGGCTTATGATCGATTTGATCAAATTTAAGAAATTTATATCTTAAGAGTATTCATGACAAAAAAAGATGAAGTATGTCGTGTAACGACACCAGCAACGCTATTTTATTTATAAAATCTAAATGAAAATTATATATCTTTTTACTATTTCATATACATATAACGAATCCCAGCAAACAGATCTCTTATTGAGTCGATTGTTTCAAAAGAAAGAATTGTCGAATACAGGTGTAATATTGACGTGTCTAAGGTAAGTAACACCCAATGTATCAATCTTATATTTATTCGTTCCTTACATTCATTTTATTTTTGTTCTACATGACTTTGACTATGAATTCGCTTAGATACTTTCCTTCGTCGTTCTGGAAGTCCCATTAGGAATGCCGGTAGCCTGGTATCCACGTATAGCTCAGGTACCCCCATCCCTTAGCTGTAATTTAATATATTATTCAAAAACTTGACTTTTGAATTTTTGATAACCCAGCTCTGAGACAGAGTGGTCACCGCGGAATACATACTCGCCTAAACAATGACAACGTCGCAACTTCTGTAATTTAAGATATTTTAAAATACAAACATTGCGACACACGCAGGAAGGAACGTTCTTTCGTATACCTTTAAACTTATTATCGCAAGATTTTCCGTTTATCCAAAAAAAAAAAAATCTCAAATATTCCCCCTTAACAGAGGAAACGAATTTAGGACTACGGTTCTTTAGTGATTTGCGTGAATTTTTTTTAGCAAGAAAGGAACGTATATAAGTTAATGAAACTTTGAGAACATTTTATGGACGAAGATATTAGCTGTCACCATAAAATGTAGCTGTTTTGTGTGCATTCTAAATGCCACAGTTCTCATCTGAAATCAATAGCGATTTAAATTCATTTTAACGACACGTCGTTCTACTATATAAACCTAAATTCCCCCTAAAAAATTGAATATTGCATTTTTAGAGACGTTTAAACGAAAGTGCATCATTTTTTGCCATTTTTGTATAACGTTTTTTGCAATAAAATAGATACTTCAAACAATGATATTACTCCGAATGTAGGTTTCTATAGAAGAAAGACATGTCTTTAAAATAAATTTAAATCCCTATTGATTTCAGATGAAAATTATAGCCTCCAGAACGTACACAAAACAGCTACGTTTGGTGGTGACTTCCGATGGATGGCAGCCAATATCTTCCATATTTTCCGAGGAAACGCTTCCAAAAAACGACAATATTTACTCGAATATATGTATAAAATGTTCTCAAAGTTTCGTTAAATTATATACATTCCTTTCTTATTAAAAAAAAATGCATGAAATGAAACGATTGAGAATATTGATGAATATCGATTACTAGACTGATTCGTTCGATTAAAACACAAATGGGAATGAGAATTCTATTTTCGTGTACAATTCGCGTTGGCCATCGTTGCAACGTCACTCGGAGCAAACGAAACGATCGGTGTAACAGACCGACGGAGAGCGCAGGTTCGACAATGATCTCCTTCTACGAGGAAAGCCCGCTGAAGTTTCGCGTACCACGGTAGACATCGTGAAAATCGACGACATTGCGTCGCGAGTTCTCGGAAAGCGCGCACCGATTCGAACCGTCTCCAATCGCGACGTGTTCCGTCCGTTGGTGCGATTCGAAAAAATACAATTTACATGAAAGAACAGAAGAGCCATGAAACCAACGAGCAGTCACGTTTAAAATTTTAAACGAACGAGGCCCGAAGGAAACGTTCGACGCTTTTGACTCTTTAGCGATCGATAAATATGCGTTTAACCGATGTCTATGCAGCTTGATCGAAAAACTTTCGTCCACGGATTCTGACGAGAAAGAGGATAAGGAAGTTATCGGGGCAACGAAGAAGGATTAAAGCGAAAACCAATTTGCAACCCTAAGGGTCCAACGAAGAATCTGTCGAAGCCCTTTGATCCGATCACGTGACTCTGTTTCAGCGTTCCGTTGCCGTCAACGTTCAAACGTCGCGTGCAACTGACTTAACCGTGTTTGTTAACATAGAGCCGAACAGACTCGCACGAGACACGACTGTGCGTGGCAATATCGATCATTAATAACGCGAACACGTACTGTTTTGCATCCGCGGCCGAGACTACGTGGGCGCGTGCAATATTGGATCACCCGCTGGGCTAAGTGACGCGGTAACTTTTCGAAAGTTCAAACAGTGTACAAACTACGAGGTATCCAGGATATATGCGTTACTACCGTGTTGTAAAAGCCATAGAAACTACGGGCCAACTATGTTATGTGGAGTGATAACAATGTAGCCTGAGGCTACCACGCGAGAGGGAATATTCGAAATTGTTGCACGTTTCGGAGATTAAGTTGCTGACGTTATCCGCGTGATTGGAGATTCCCCATTCTGTTTCTCGCGATCGGGCAGTTCTCGATTGGCAAATAAACGTGAAACGGGCCGTGTCGCGCTCGTCTTATTCACACGAAACATGTTCCCTCGAACCATGGCATCTTAGATTGAACGTAACGGCTTCGGAAGCTGGAAGAGGCTGACAAAGATGACGGTTTAGTCGCTGCCGATTATGAAAACTGCAATTGATTGCGCTGTAATCGATAGATTTTCGCTCGACGAAGAACGAATGTCGAGCACGTAACGAACGAGATTCGCGAACGATCAATTCCACTTGTCGTCCGGAAGCACACTGGCAAGCGAAGGGACACCTATCAAACGCTTCCACGATGGACTTTTCAATAGAAACCACGCTTGTGAGTAGTAATTATATATACTTTTCTTTTGTGGTTTTTAGCAAACAAGTTCCAAGCCGGTTACTCGTTAGTAGACAGCTGATATTTATGCAAAATAAAATCTTAGCAAACGTACATACAAAAACTGAACCTAAATGAATATTTTACTCTGCGATTATTATAGGAACTTCGCTTCCAATATTTTTTATATTACTGCGCATTGTGTGCTGTTCGTAGTTTCTTACGCAATTAAATTTTGTCTAAATGCACAAAAATCTGCAGTCTACTTATTAGGTAGGATATTACGATCGGGAAGCGATTAGGTAGAGAAAAATTATTTTGTCCGTCTTCCAGCTCTGTGTTTTTGCGCCAGCTGTCAAAATTTGTATCCAGGTCACTTCTTTCTATCCATTACGTGTACTATTATATACAGCGAATATAAGTAGAATTATTATTAATCTTTATCATAACTCTGCTTTTGAGCCCATAAGAAAATTTTTAATTCAGATTCATTCTACGTGTAAAAGTCGGTATTCGGTGGGGTGGATATTAATCTCACCAAACAATGGAAGAGAATTATTATTTTCGGCCCCGTTGTTGCTCCATCCCCGGAACTTTTATCTGTACCTTCGTATATAAATTTATATTGAATAGAACACGATGGATTTTGTATTAGTTATTTGAAAATTGCATTTAGATAAAAATTTTGTTCGTTTCTAATCAGTATTTGGCAGTTTCCACAAAAAATATTGTCAAGGTAAATTGCAATTTATAATAGTCCCTTCCATTTATTATGAATTAAGATTTCTATGAAAGCAACTAACATGAAGGTTTCCTTAAAAACATCTAATTGTTTATACGATGCCTTCTTGTTTTCAAATTACTAGTCTTCTTTACAGCTGTATCTATCAACACCTAATATTATTCCCCTACTATTATCATCCTTGCAAAAGTTAGAAATCCCACCTGCTGTAGAAGAAATGTCGTTGAAGCCGTTGAAATCTGGGACAAGTAAGTGACAGTTCAATTTACAGTGGAAATATAACGAAAAGCCATTCGCAAAAATTCAAGTACGTGCACGCTTGCGTTTCTATTATCCACCTGTCCGATGCGCAATCAGAAATAAATATATATATATATATATCTTAGAATCGAAAATATATGCAACTTCTATATTATGCTTGAGTTTTTAAAGTAAACACGGACTGGAATAAAAAAGGAACGGTATCTGATGCACGGTAAAAGGTTACCTAGATGGCCAAGTGAGCATCATTGTTAAAATACCATGTTTCCACTCGATAGATTATTTCAGGATCAACAATGCTGTTTGCTGAGTTTTCAACCAGAATAACGCAACAATGTATGTAAAGTAACTTCGATTCGCTATTGATACAACGTACTTGTCAGTAAAAAAAAAATATCGCACTCGAATATTTAATAGCGTTCAATATTTTAGTAAAGTATCAGGTCATGCCATAAGGGCAGACATTTCATAGCAACGGTATAATTACTTTGTCAGAGAGGTGGGAAATATCGTAGAAAGAAAGGGTTATTACTAGACTGCGGATCTTTGTGCATTTATAGAAAATTTGAATGTGCAAGAAACTACGAAACGCAAATAATATGCAAGAATATAAGAAAGATTGAAAGTAGAGTTCGTGTTATGATATTTGCAGAATAAAACAAATTCTTATTTAGGTTCAATTTTAGTAGGCACATTCGCGAAGATTTTATTTTGCATAAAGATCCGCAGTCTAGTTATTACATTTAGTCATAACCTGACCTATAATAATATAATACACGGTTTACCTTCAATGTTTCCGGCGATGAATGAAAACAATCCTTTTTCGTGGCATAATTAGTCATTAGTTATTGAAAATATGTCTCCATCGAAGAAACGCACTTTTGATAACATCTATAGAAACTCTTCAACTACATATCTCTGATATACATACCTCCCAAATGGAGTACAACAAATATTTCAAAGCGTTTAAATTTTTGTCGAACTATCGTTTTATTGACAGTGGAAATGAAAGATAGCTACAGAATTGGATATCCAACACACACAAATATTACGGATTACTTAGTACTATGGTTTTTTGAAGTCAAAGCCAGCACTGATGGATTTAGCTTTTATCATTCAGTTTTTTATTTCATCGTGATTGTATTTTGGCTCGAGCATTTCAAAATTGTGAAAAAATCAGAACACTACCGCTGACTGGTTTCCATGCGAAGAGGAGGTGCACTTTCAAACACCACAAGAGGATAATTCTATTGATTCTGATAGGCAAACTAAAGTATACTCAAAGACGGAGGAACATTCATTGTGTTCCTGAACGAAATAAAAATTGTATAGGCAAAAATTAATCGACACATTTCGTTAAAAATACATACAGGGAATTATAAAACGTTGTTCCGATTAAAATAATAAACAGAAATAATAAGCGGTCCAGACAAGGCGCTAGAACTAGTTCTTCGTATCGGTACAACTTAGTATTACAAATCTCTGTCGATTCGACTTTATCATCTCACTTCATTGGACTTGTATGGATGTGATCTGCTCTCGAAGATCTTGGTGTTACATTTCACACGTCTTGGAACTTCAAAGACTCTCTATGCCGTTCTGAATTTTCTTGATTATAGTTTATGATACTCGCATTTCTACTCGAGCATTCTCATTTATTCAGCCTGTCTAAAATACGTATCCTCGTTATTCTTACTGTTCTCGTACATTCGACCACATTACTCCTGCACACTGTTCCACTGTTCTGACTGAATATTCAACATAGAAGGATTCGTCGTGTCTGACGTGTTATTTACAAGCGTCTTACCTCGATGTCTCCTATTTACTCGCTTCATTTATCCCTCTCCAATCCGTTCTCGCTAGATTTTATGCATTTATAGCGTACGCAACAAATGCGAAAAGCTCATGCTGAAAGCTATTCGTAGATAATTCAACAAGGAATTTGTCCTTGTTATTTATTTTGAACCATTTAAATTTACGCAAATTCAACAAATCTGCATTCCATTGCGTTTCGTCCACAATTTTTCGAACGCACTCTGAGAGAGAAAATATGCATCAAATAATTTGCGAAAAGAATTGCGTACCGATAAAGAAAACAAATAAACAGACAATCATAATTTTTAGAATAAAATTATTGAATTGTGCTAATTTCATTCATAATGCAATCTGTTAATTGAATTATGCAGCGCGATTTATTTTTGGCTGGTGCGTACATTGACACAATTTGCTTTTGACTGTTTGACACAGTTTGACACAATTCGCAAACGTCACAATGGCAGAAAAACGCAATAGCAGAAAAACGTGACGTATAAATCGCACGTTGAAACATTATTGATCGTGCAAAAAGGACCCAATATAGTTTCTGCATTATCAGTGATAATAATGCTAACATTGCATTACGCGAGCGACGACCCACCAATGTTTTACCGCAGCACGAAATTTTCTAATATAAACACGAGTTGTACTTGTTAAGTATTCCTAATGAAAAGTTTCTCACGTGGTCAGACTTACCCGTGAATACCCCCATTAGAGAAAAAACGTTAACCAAAATCCACGGTAAAGATAATCTTTCAATGAACTCCCTAAAATGGAATTGAATTTTTATTTATATATTCATATTTCCATCGGGATTTTATTTACACTATAAATACATTTTTTTGTATACATTGTATACATATATTATAATACATGTATATTAATGCTCTTAACCATTTAAGCCTCGGATATTTTAATCGAGTAGGACACGAAACGGTGGAGGAATAAGCTACTTACGTAAATTAATTTTTAGACTTGTATAATGAAAATAATCTAAACTATAAACTCAATTCTGGTTTACAGGATTTTCTACTTATATTTCACGGAAAAGTTTGGGAAATGCTGGCTGAAAGTATAAAATCACGCATACGTGATAGCACTCGATACGTGTCACCCGATAAAGTCACGTATACCTACAGGTAGCCTACTGTGAATTATCAAATCTGAATCTTTGCGAAATATGAAAGATTAAGAATGCAGTTCCACAATAAATTTCACTGATTTGGTAAATCGAAATATTTTCATTCGAAATTTTATGACAAATTACAGTGGAACATCTCATTGATTGTTTCACACTTGGATTCATATTATAGGGTCTATTTTTCTGCTTGCGTATCGTAGACACAAATGTATATTTCATTTTGTAATTTACAAAGTTTTAGATCCGATTCATTCTCAAACTAATTAAAATTTATAATGAACAGTAGTAGAACTAATTATTCCAACTTGAAAGTCATTACATTATGAACTTTTTCGTCAGAGTTAAAACGAAACGTGCAAAATAAAAGATTCGCTATACGTATATTACTTTAATCCACGTGCATCGACTGACCTTCACGCGTTATCTTTTAAACTGGTGAATGTTTACAAATTGAAAATACAATGCACTCAAACACGGTCAAGTTTTCCGTTTACAAAACACTCGACGTTCTATACGATTTGAGACCACGGGTGGGCAACATTTTATTTGAATAATGAATTACGAACACATCCAACAATTTATTAAGATATAACAATTAATTCGTGAAATTTATTTGATTAAATAGCTAAATATTTATTTATTCATATTATCATTAATATTTACTTCATTTCAAACTATCAGTCGTTCTTCCTAACACAAAATCAATTGAAATGCAAATCCTCTTTCCATCGATTGTTTGCATAATAATGTTAAATAATATTAAATTTTTACACGCAAAATTTCTAACAGATTTTGTTCAGAAAATTCAGAAATACCATTAATGCACGTGTTGTTGTCTGTTTATAGGGCATCGTTAAAGGTAACGTTCTCTTCATGGCCAACAATCCAGTAAACTGGTTTAGCATTTCCTCAAGAGAATGTTCTTTATCAATTTTCATCATTTCCCGTTGCCCTCAAAGAACTTTAATAACAATTTGTTGGAAACCAAGTACAAAAGACTAATCGCATTACTGTTCCAATTCTTCGTCTATATTCTAATTT